TGTTATGTGTAAACTAGAACAAAACCACGCTTCAAATCACATTTTCCGTGCCTTCACTGAACATCTCTATCACACATTACGTTTTACAACAATAAGCTTTTACTTAGCAAGCACCTCCAAGACACAAGTTAAAAACGTAATAAGTTAAATCAACAAGCACACAGGCTTGCCACGTACTGGGAGAAAGCAACACCTCACAGCAGACGTTGTGTCTTCAGTTAACGGGTAAGAAAGCAGGCTTCTGTGCTGCCTTTGTCTGCACGGCCCTCCCGTGCTGGGCCAGGTCTTCACATTTGAAGTCTCACTTCACTTGATCCTCACTGAATATTTCAGAATTCAAAGAATTTATCTAAATGGTGGCTGTGGAAGCCACCATCACTTGCTGTATCTCAAGGCCACCCATGCAGAAAAAGAACCTCCTTCGACCATATGCCTGTGATGCCAGGAAACCAAGTAAGTTTCCTCTACTTGTGGGCAGCGAAAAGCAGGAAGCGTACGGAATCTGGCCCTATACCCATGCCCATCTTCCCTATGACATTAACTGGCGCGTCCGTGTAAACTATTACCGTATTCTGTAGCGGCAATCTCTTCGACCGAATGTGACAGTCAGCTCAGCAGAGAGCCTGGCACAGAGCTAACCCGTAGTTAAATGCTGGCTGAGCCAGGGCCAGAATCTGCAGTCTCTTCTAATGTTTAAAGTACCGAAGTACAGTATCTAACGATCAATGCAGAATGCTGTTCAGTGTTCCTATTTAAGGAAAAGAGCCTCTAAAAGCCCAAGAGAATAGTTTCATGAGCATCTACTCTCTCGCCCCTGAGGCCTCTCATAATATCCCTGTTTTCTGGATGAATGTGCGAGTGAGCAAGTGAGTCTGCCTCTGTGACCTAGCTGGAGAAACGGTGGACAGAGACCTGACCTCCGTTTTATCTGACTTCAAAGTTGTGGGGTTTCTGCTACTCTCTGAGCTTCCAATTGCTTAACACGGTTGGGCAATCAGTCAAGAGAAGGGCCCATTCTTTCTAGTGGAAGATGTAGGGACCCACTCGTTGGAGACGGAATGAGTAGGCCGTTCCTTCATGTTTAAACCTAAAGGGACCAAATGGAATAATAAAAAAAATAAAGAGGCACCTGGAAAGAAGCAACCAGCCTCAATATCAGACATTCCATATTGAAATGCAAATAAGAAATAAATTCTGGAAGTATAGGTGAGAAATGGAATAAGATGGAAACAAACAAAAAAGTGAAACGGATCACCTGACCCAGCACACCACCTACACCAGCCTTTCTCAAAGGAATTCACAACGCTTCTCAGACAACCAGGGTCGGGTAAGCCAGGAAAGGTCTCTGAACCCGAAAGTCCCTTTATCGTGGGTGGTGCTCTTCAGTCTTTATCCCACTTCATGCAAATATTCACGCATTTCACTGCAGAGGTAAAACTGCGCTGAATTATGAGGGCCTAGGCCAGCCGTGGGCAAACTACGGCCTGCGGGCCAGATTCGGCCCGTTTGAAATGAATAAAACTAAAAAGAAAAAAAAGACCGTACCCTTTTATGTAACGATGTTTACTTTGAATTTATATTAGTTCACACAAACACTCCGTCCATGCTTTTGTTCCGGCCCTCTGTCCAGTTTAAGAACCCATTGTGGCCCTCGAGTCAAAAAGTTTGCCCACCCCTGGCCTAGGCCCTAGGAAGTCACCAGTGTGAGTGTGTGTGAGTGTGTGTGAGTGTGTGTGTGTGTGTGTGTGTGTATGTGACGTAACATGCAATCCGTCACCTTCTGAGATCTGTAGAATTCTGAATTTTGAAACATCCTACCCCAAGGGTTTTGGATAAGAGACTGTGGACTGGACGCTATGTACACCCAGTGTCTGTGTAAAATGCATAAAATTGCTTCAGAGGACATTAGTTAGAAGTTAGAACGACACAATGATCTTTACTTTCTTATTTAATTTACTCCGTATTTCTGAAACTTTTATGTGGAACATGTTCGTTTATAACAGAAGGGAAAGGAAAACCTCCCTCTTCACCGCCTCCACCCGCAGGGCTGGACGGCTTTCCAGAGACTGTCCCGCAACCCGCAACAAGCAACACGAGCGGGCAGTGCCGCACCAGGACACGAGGGGTGTCTGGGGTCACTGGCCCTCCCAATGATGCATCGCCATTCTGCGAAAAGAGGGGGTTTCGTAAGCCCAGGGCACCCAGTGGCTGCCAATTCACCGCTGAGTATACCCAAGCTCTCTGCAGTTTTCAGTGTTTCAAAGAACTTGAGAAATAATCTGCCAGTGATCTACATCCAGCCTGTGCATTTCCAGCTCTTCCCTTTGAGGGGGAAGAAAAGAAGAAGAAAAAAAAGATAAAAGCATCCTCAGCCCAAACCACAATGCCCTGCAGCCAGACTGCAAACAGGAAATGCCAGGCTGATGGAGAAATCGCTGGGCTTCACGGGCTCTGAAGCAATGCCGCCCTCGACCTGCTGGGGGCGCTCGGGCTCTGAGGCAAGCTCTGCTCTGCAGAGGCTCAGGGACCACAGAGCCAGAGGCAGAGGGTCCTTCTGGGCCCCGCCTACTGATCTCAAACAGGGTTCACATATATTTTCTAAAACTACTGCTCCACGGGGGTCTTGGGGTCAGTCGTTTCCCTCTGCCCATGGAGAATCTATTTCCACCCACGGGTACTCTTTCCTCGCCCCGCTCTGCGGTTTGGTGATTGAACGGAGGCAATGGGCTGACTCCCGGCCTTGCCAGCATCCCAGGCCATGCCGGCCCGACACTGGGAACAGAGCAGCCCAGGCAATGGCCTCACTGCTTTCCTTGAAAAGGTTAAAGGAAGGATGGGAAATAATTTCCGTATTGTGTTAATCACATGAATAACAAAACATACTTGGAAACAGCTAAAACTCAACAGCATCCTTTCTTTTTGTTCTTTAGTTTTCCTTTTTTTTTTTTTTTTTAAAGACAAGGACGCTGCATTGTAAAGAAAGCCTCCTTCATCAATACATTAACTACAAAAGGGCATTCAAAGCAGAAAACCAGAAGATAGAAGGCATGGAAACAAGGAATAGCCTCTGCTTCAGTAGAACAAACAATGCTGTGTCCGCAGACGGCTGACTAGGAAGGCATCCTTAACTGAGGCAGGGTGGGTTCAGCGAGGCTGGTGAGCCAACGAAAGGAGTACTTATAATAATGTCTTAAGATGCTAAGTCACCTAGCATATACCCCCAACCAAAAGCCATGCACTTAAAACCTTGACACCAAAACCTTGTAAACATCATCGATGAACCAGATCATGTCCACGATCCTGTGGCTTCTCCCCACTGAGAGGTGGCATTCCCCAGCCACACTCCACAGGCCACTTCTGGGAGGAAACAGCTCACCACTTCACCTTTGCGAGATGCTGGCCACAGAAAGGGCTCTGACTAGAGGGAGAAATCCCAGCAAAAGGAAGAGAGACTACAGACTGCTGGTGAAGGAAGAGCAGAGAAGTGAGGTTGGGATTTTGACTCGTGTGGATGGCAGATTCACACAGTGCGAAGGGACCTGCCGTGTGGGGAAGAGTGGGAATGGATTGGTCCGGGAAACGTGGAAGCGATGGCTCTTGGCTTAAGCCAAACAGATGGGGTCTACTGGAAATGAAAGGTTGGCGAGATATCCCTGGGAAAAGAGCGACCTTGGGGAAAACAGCTTCCTGCCCAGCCAGCCCTCACCAGTTACCACCAAAGGGAATGTCAGTCTGCTGTCACTGCCTTTCTTCCCACCGCGCCTCCCTTAGAGCTCTGCCACCAGCAAAGAGGCAGGTGAAATGAGAGGGCCCTTCTGAACAGAGACTGAGATAATGTAAGATTTACAGGAATATCATGAATTTATCAAAAAACCCCAAAGGATAGAAATACGTATGTATGTGCTAAGATCAAAATGATCCTTTGAGAGTTTTTAAAAATAAGACATATTCTATCTTCAACTTTTCTTTTCTTTAAGATTCATTGTCACTTTAAGACTAAGTCAGTGGCCTAAATCATCAATTAGAGTTAAACTGCAGGAAGACAGACACATACACATGTATATTTATCCAGCACAATAGGGGAGAAATATTCTGATGTGTCAACTATTCGGGTTAACGTTCTACAGAAAAGGTTTCATTTTCCCAAGATTCTCTCGTGAGGCCACAGTGCCTATCGGGGTCAAGGCATCAAGTGTGAGATCTGGATCCTTACAGGAGGCCAAGGAGCACTTAGCGAGAGACAGGGGAGGGAAAGGACAGACACAGCTCCAGCTCCAGCTCCTCCTCCTCCTCCTCCTCCTCCTCCTTCTCCTCCAGAAAAGGCTGGGGAAAGCATGGGAGAGCTTTTTCTGGGGCACCTTCCAACTTCCCTGTGCTCCTGCCTCTGGGGACTCCGGAGAAATGAGACCCGATTGAATGAGCTCACAGAGCAGACCTTTCTCAGTGTGGCACAGTGTGAGGCTGGTGGGCACAACCTGGGGGTGCCCAGACAGTACCGCCTGGTGACCAGGTCCCCACCCCCAACTCCGTGTCTCCTCCCAGGGTCAGCAGCTGCAGTGCCCAGGCCTTAGGGATGCTTCGGAAACCCCAGATTCCCTGAACCTCAAAATCTTTTTCTCGGTAGCGGGTTATAAGGATGAGGGGCACTGGGAGAGGTTAATTAATTTGTAAATCCGGGATCGAAATGCATGGTCATCTGCACACACGTGAGATGGAACGTGTGTGTCCGACACAGACAGTGTCATCACTCTTTCAACCAACGAAAAGGCAAAGGCTGCTAAAAGTCACCCGAGACAGAGACAAAACAGTGGGAGAAGGTGGAAGGAATTCAGGTCAACCTGCTTCTCTCCCACTCTACAAACCTACCCGCTATCAGCGGGGCGGGAGGTACCAATTCCAGGAGTCTCACCATGGCATTTCTTTACTTGTGACTCCATACTTAGGACTCAAAAGCTGTTTGGCTGTAATTAATAAAAAAAATCACTTATGAAATGGCTTACCAGATTTTTCAGCAGGGTGGACAGTTCCTTTGTAAGAGTAGAAAATTTGACGAAAGCGGTGCCAAGATCTGGGTTGTCTCGACTTAAAAAATTACTCCCGAACTTATCCAGAACTTGGGCATAGTTTTCTTCATTTTGTACATGGTCTGAAAAAGAAGACAGAGGAGCCTGAGCTATTGTTTGCCACAGAACCGAGCTGTTGTGAACACTGATTGATCCCTGGGAACTCCCAGCAGCAGGGAGAAACGCCGTCTATTTTTACTGCACACATCCAGGAGGTGGTTAGCGGGCACTGAGTGTTCTCATAATGGAAGGCGGTCTCCCTTTCGCCATCACAGCGTTTAGTTCACTTCTATCCCCATCAATCCATGGACTCCCTACAGGTTGAGGGGTCAAGTAATCATCATACTTTCAAGCAATTAAGAAACCACGATGATCAGGAAATGAGAAAATTCTGCTTAGAAAAATCAACCTTGGAATGCCAAAGCCAAGCCCTCGTGTTCTAACATGAATCTCCCTGCAACTAATGCTACTCTCCTTTCATGTTTTCCGAGCGCTGGCCCTGAGGTGCAGCCCTGGTAAGGGACGTGCTAGGGGCTGCACACCCGGCGCCCGCGGGAAGGAGTCCTGCAGCGTGGGAGGGGCTGGCACGGCCCAGGGCCGTGCGCGGAGGTGATGGCGGCACGTGCCCGTGGGTGCACTCTGGACGCCATGCTCACTCTCCACGTCTCTCCTCCTGCCGCGAGGACAGGGGGCATGGATTTGTACAGAGGCCCACAGGAGATGCGTAATGTCTACTGAATGAATAAGTGAACAAATATGTACCTAACTACTAAGACCCTGTCTTTAAAGGCTTATAAATTCAACACCTTTCTCGTTATAAAGCCTTTCCCTGAGTGGGCCGTGAGCCTTCCTTGCCCGCGATCCCGTGAGCCTCCTCGGTGGTGTTTCCCGCCGTGTCGTATCATGTTTGTGTGAGTGGAGCTCTTTCCAGCCCCGGACCACGAGAGGCAGGATGGCCTCCGGCTCACCTCTGCGTCCCCACCCAAGAGCCAGCGCCGCGGGTTTTCCGTGGGAGGCCCAGGAAGCGCCCGGTGGCTTGGATTTGCTGATTTCCTTTTCAGGAATTTAAGACACATTCCCTTCTTAAGCCTCCTAGGTTGTTCGATAATCCAGATGAAATTTTAAAGTATTTCACTCTCATCCAGCCGGTGTGGCTCAGTGCCTGAGCATCCACTCATGAACCAAGAGGTCCCCAGTTCGATACCCAGTTCGATACCCGGTCAGGACACATGCCCGGGTTGCTGGCTCAATCCCCAGTAGGGGATGCAGGAGGCAGCTGATCAATGTCTCTCCCTTATCGATGTTTCTATGTCTTTGTCCTCTCCCTCCTTCCTCTCTAAAATCAATAAAAAATTTTCTAAAAATATTTCAATCACAGCGTGAGGGCAACGGGCACTGGAGAAGTGGAACGCGGTCTGCACCGGGGAGGCAGGCTCAGCACAGCAGGACAAGTGTCAGGCCGTCCGGGGAATGGAACGCGGCCCGCAGCCTCCCCGATCAGCAGCACATTAGACATTCACGGCGCCTGCAGTGGAGGTCAGCATTTCGGGCTAAGACAGTAACAGAGAAGACGCAGCCCTGCTTGCTGCTGGCATTCACTCTGAGAAGAGGCTCAGAAACACACCAAGGAAAGGCCACATGGGCTGGGCAGACGGGCGCCCGTGTTGGGTCTCTCTCTGGAGCTGCCGCTACCCTGACACCTTCTGCTGGAGGCCAAAGCGTTTCCGCTCGCTGAGACTCCCACTGACACCCGACAGGGAAGACCCGGCCACCTGCCTGCCAGCTGCTTCCACCAGAAGGGTCTCCGTGGTAAATAAAGTATTAGGTTTTTGGTGTGTTTGCTTGAAACGATAAAATATTTCAAAGGAAAACCGAAGACCCATGTGCCTATCAACCAGTTAAGAGCCCTTTCTGACCCAATGCCTTTCACAGCGTCACAGAGAACCTTCCCAGAACTCTGCATGGGGAGAATCACGCTTCCTGGGCAGATGGAACATAAATGTGGTCTGAGAGCAGCAGAAGGGGAGACTGGGTATGTAAGCACAGGCGAGGGCAGGGAGCCTGTATGTTTTGCTAATTCCACAACTGAATAACCATACAGTCAATATCTACATCTGTATCTATGAACATGCGTGTGTGTACACATTAATCACATATGTATGCACACATATCTATATAAAACTTCCTAGTGCAAACATATTTTAAAATACAAGAGCTAATTCGGTGAACTAGATCTTGAAATAATCCTAGTAATCCTACTGAGGGTAGAAATGTTGGGAATTAAGTGTAAGCTGCTTAGAACAGGGCCTGGCACGTATATCAGACATCATTACCTCTACACCTATGCTGACAGAGAAATGTATCTAACATCAACCAGCATAGCCACTTATGCCTCATATTTTAAGGATTTTTCTTACAGGCTGCATCATAAATCTAAGAACGACAAGTCACTGGGAAGATGACACAGACACACACAGCCCTCTGTACAAAGTTAAGGTTTACCAAGCAGGTCTCCGACAGGCTCAGTGAGGGCAAGGACCCAGGATGCTGGTGGAGAAAACAGGGAGCCCAGGGCGGAAGGTGGGGAGGATTACAGAGCAGTAAGCAATTTGAATGGAATGTAAATTCATGGGTTTAGCAAAGAAGAGGAAAATACAGGGCTTGGGTGGGGCTGCAGGGTGGGAAGTGCTGTCACAGACATGGGTGTGACTGGGTGGGAGGCAGGAAGTGGCCCGAGCAGTTCAGGGCATTCCAGAGAGCAGGACAGAGCTGTTTTAAGATGCCCACTACATCCAACTGCCAGGGGCCTTGTGGGAGGTTGGTCAAGTGGGGGCTGGGGAGAAAGGAGGTGGGGATGGAGAAATCTGAGCCACCAATTATGGAGATCTGTGCTTTTCAAGTATTTGTCCGCAAGTTCTGGCATTCCTGGGATTGTTGCAGAAGGTAAGATAATTCTAAGAGCTAGGGGACTCCTTTCAGATCTGAAAAAAGGACAAAATAATACGGTCTTACCAACCAAACCAGAAAGGGCCACTCCGTCAGGATTTCAACTGCTCTGGGGAGATGAGCCCCCTGCACTAGTCACGTGACATGTTCCGTCAGGTGGAAGGGCTCACACACACACACACACACACACACACACACACGTCCCAGCATTAACCCTGCAGCAGTAACTACACGGGGACTTCCTTTTCCAGTAATAGGGCGACAGCAGCTAGTCTGTGATTCTGTGACTGTAATTATGACACGTTGGTCAGCAGTGCCCGTGCAGTGGCACCCGTCACTGTGAATAGCCCCAAACACCTTTCAGGCAGTTTTATAGACAAAAAAGAGAAACTCAATGGTGAGGCCAGATTAGACTTTAGCTTCATTTGATTCCAAGCCCCATCTTTTTGCCACTGCTTCTTTCAAGGTCAAATGCAAGTGTAACCTCCTGGGCACACCTGCTATTCATTCTCTCCTGGGCCTTTTGCAGTGCGCGGTCCCCAGCGTCAGCGGATCTGTTGTATACCCAGGTGCCAGCGTTGGGCTGCGCACACAGTTAGTGCTCGGTAAAATGCTCACCGTACGTAGTGAAGTCTCTTTGAACAAGTCTTTTTCTTTCCTTCAAAACATACTCAGCGCTGGCCCTGTGCCAGGCACATAAAATACAATGAGCTATAACTGCAATAGGAAAGCCATGTAATATGAGCCATGAATTATAGCGCCAGGCTAGAGAGGGAAGTGGTACATTCTTTTATACTATTCTACACATACTGTGTAGTACTAATCCCACTTTTAACATTCTAATTAAATTTGTTAATAAAATTACAAAAATAATTCTGACATTATCCTAAGACGTAGAAAGACAAGAATTATTTCCCTTCCTCTTCTCTAATCTCATCTCCTTGAAATAAGCAAAGCTGATCATCTTGAGTGAAATCTCAGAACTTTCTGAATGCTTAAAAAATATACACACAGACACAGACACAAATATAAGGGTTTTCTCCCCTTTTCTCACTTAAAAAACAAACATACTGATGGGATATTATTACAAGACTCTATAGCTTGCTTTTTTCCTAGTGAACAAAGATGAAGAAACTCAGTACAATGAAATGCAATGAATCATTTTCACCACGATTATATTCCATAACAAACTCTACCACAATTTATATAACCATGCACCTCCTGAGAGAGGACTTAGTTTTTGCAAACGAAAAACAAGGCTGCAATAAATGTCCTTATACACAAGCTCCTATATGCGGCCACTTTATCTCTGAAAAGATATATTCACAAAAGCACGAATTGGTGAGGGGTAGGGTGTGCGCTTCAAATTTTTATTAATATTGCTATGTTTCTTTCCAAAGAGGCTGGCTGTGGCCATCACATCCCCAAAGGCAACACATATAGGAAAGGTTCTCTTCTCTATAATCTCACCAGCACAAAGATGCCATTTTTTAATGTCACCGGATGTAAAAACTTGACTATCGTTGGCCTGGGCAATCTTTACTGAAAAGACTTGAGTTTCCTGCCTTACAGCCCTGAACCTTCTAATGTTTAGTACTTACACACACATGTACGTCTTCAATCCAATGTGATGTATTTCTTTATATAGCACGAGGAAGGGTTCTGACATTATTTAAAGAATGTTCCTGCCCTGGTCAGTGTGCTCCGTGGTTAGAGTGTCGGCCTGTGCACATACCTGGGTTGCAGGTCAAAACTAGCTCAGCCTCTGCAAGAATCTGCCCCAACTCCTAGGGTGTTTGTTATCTGAAGCTCAGCATTGCAGACTTTAATTTCTGCAGAAACTGACAAAATCCACTAACAGAGCCCCGAGAACCGATGCCAGCGGAGCTCCCAGGGCCGCGCCTGCATTTACAGGCACTTGCAGATGCTCTGCTACGGCCAGGCCATCCCCTCTTCCGGCTCCATCACTCGGGCTTCCTAACTGCCAGGTGAAATCCACATCACACTTCGGTTTGCTGGTGGCCCCCAACAAAAGCTAGAAAGGAAACCACCAGTTCCTAGCCGATGCCGGCCTCCCACCGTATGACCACCCATCACTCAGTGGAGCCACGCTTGCTTTTCAGTGGTGCAGTTTAAA